AGCAGGACGTAATGACCAGTCCCGCTCTGTTCTCCTTTCTCACAGCTCCTCATCTTTGTTTACTCACACAGAAACTCACCCACTTTTCCCACTGCTGCTTAGCTCCTTTATGAGCCCCCAATGAATAACCTTACCAAATGCACACGAGGACCAAGCTCCTGAGTTGTCACTCAGTAAGTCCCCAGGTGTGTCTTTCACGGTAGAGTACCACCCAGCTCCTGCTTCTCTTATCCATCACTGTAAGCACTGCAACCAGTGGTCTTAATAATTTAGTCATATCTCACCCCACCAATTTCAGCAGTGACAATTATGTCAAGTATTTCCTCACCAAATATTTCCTCCCAAATATTTTCCAACACATCCACTTTCTTACCCAGATTCCTAACACCAGAATAAGCCAGATGAGGAACTGGCTCTCTTCCCCTTCTCGGTCCCATGCTTTGAAAGTATTTAAAACAGGCAGAGGGTGAGCTGAACAGCATCTGCCCCTCTCCCCAGCTGTCAGCCAGACACCTTCTGATGGCTCTCGCTGCCTGCTCTCAGAGCCTTCTGCAGGCACATGGGTCACCTCTGGGATGCAGGAGGCATCAAAGCAGAAGAGAGGCTGGGCACGAGGTGGAACTATCCTGCTGAGCTGCTTTCCTGGAGATCTCCAAGCATAATTCTATACACGTGCTTGTAAGAGATCCCATCAGCGGAATCAACCATTGCAGTCATACCCCATCCTGCTCTGCACCCTTCCCTCCACCACCTGCGTGAAGACACAGAGCCACGTTAGCACGAGCAGGGGGGCCATCCTCACTGGCACCCGCGCTCTAGGCAGGCATCCCAGCCACAGCTCTGCTCAGCTGCATTCCACCAGCTTTAGGTGAGCAGAGCCGTGTTCCTCTCCCTGCCCACCCAGAGCCGTACCAGCATTAACGAGTCAGTGCTTCGCCAGCGCCTGAAACACGCAGCACACTGCACAAGGGCTAACCTCACACACGGCAGAGCCCAGGGCCCCTTTGCACCCAGGGCTCATCTCCCACCCTTTGTAAGGGCTTCTGCCTTCAGGCTGGGCTGGTCAGTGGGAGAGAAACCCCGAGAGCTCCCCTGCATGCTGCCAGGCAGGGAGGAGGCGACCACCTTCAGAGATGCTGCTAACCCCCAGGAAGACTGCCAGCTGCTGTTATCCTGTTGCCTCCAATCTGTCAAATATCGTCAGTCAAGTTCTGCTAAATACCCTCACTCCACGTGAGGCACGGTACCTCCAGCCACATTGAGAGAGAGACTCCTCTGCACTAATGGACTCCACTCCTCTGTCCAAATTGGTAGAGATTAAGCCACAAAGCTGCTTCTCTGTCCTGTCCCATTTTCGCTCTGCTCCTTCTCTTCTCTCACAGGGTCATCCTGCTGCAGCACAGTCAGCAAAACGAAACCAGTCAAACACCAATGGCAGTTTTCAAAGCTCTGCCCAAGCTGCTGGATGCTGACATCTCTCCCTCGGCACACCGAGGGTGCTGAGGACACCCAGTTGCTAAACTAATTCTCCCTGAAAACTACCCGACGTGGGCCAAGGACGGGAGCCAAGAATTCCCTGGGAAGCCCACAGCTTTCCCTGGCTGCCCCTCTGCCACCCCATGTCCTCCTCCCCTTGCCAGCTGCACAGAAGTCTGTCCTGTGATCTTGCCTGCTGTACAGACCTGCCCAGACATTACTCCTTCATGAGTCTGTAAGGAGGGTGATAAAAAGCGTGCTGGCTCCTCTGAAGTTACACACGACTCAAACGACAAGTGATCAGAGGGATGGAAGCCAGTCAGGAAGTGAGAAGCCACCTCTGGACGGGCATACTGAAAAGCAAAGTAGAAAAGCCCGAGTCCCTGTCCTCCCTTCCCCTTCGAGCACTTATCTACAAGTCCCAAGGCCGTTTCATGCTGGCATCATCCTCATCCTGGCAGCTCCTCCTAAGCCTGAATCCTGCTCCTGCTCTCTCTGTGTAACTTTCCCATCACTTCTCCCTTGCAGAACCATCACGATGCATCAAACCCTCCTCCAGCTCCTCGGGCCTGGCCACACCGCATTAAAACAAGATTTATGAGCCTCCAGTACAGGCAAGAGTTATGCAGTCTGCACTTCTGCACGCTGCATACCAAGTCCCCAGCTGGTTTAAATCAGATTAACTCCACTGATGTAAGACATTTAAAGCAAGAGAGTTCCATGATTTACACCAGCTAAGAAGCTGTTATATTATAGTTTGGCAGCTGCAGGTTTCAGATCCGAAGTTTTTTGGGCAAGGATCCCAAGCAGCAGTGAAAGACAGAGCAGCTGAGTGGCAAAACCCATCTATTCTCAGTGCAATATGCACGCAGCCAGCATGTGTTCCAGAAAAGTCTTTTTTTCTTCAAAAAAACCCCAAACCCCAGTGTTCAGTTTTCAGTGTCATTGGTCCGCAAAGTCAGTGCCCTGTCACAGCCCCAAGGCTCCAAACAAATCACGCAGTCATGATACCGTGGAAATGTTTCCTTTCAAAAAATGATAAATTTGGGAAACTAAAGCCTGGCAACTTTAACGCAAAGTTTGCTAACTATTGAAAAAAACCTACAGACTGATTAATACAAATGCAAACTAACACCCAAGAGAGTTTAGTATTCAGATCAGGGCCTTCATTTCTGCTAAAAGATGCTTAAGCTTCCAAACAAATCTGGCTTCCACAAAAAAATGGTGCTAACACTATGGAGCCAGGTGTGCCTGCAGAGGGACACAAAAAGACGCAGCATTGAGGGCAGGTGAAATGGCAAAGAAATGCACCAGGAAAAGTGCTGATACTGCCTGAAAAGGACGGTTTAGTCCTCTCTCTTCCAACTCAGCAAAGCTGCTGCTTTGTGCCAGAAGAAGCTGGTGTGCCAGTGCCAGGAGAGCGGCAGAGCCCTGTGCCATTCCCACTCTGCCAGTGGAAGCAGAGCCGCAGCCTCCTGTCCGGTGCCGGCTGCGCGGGGAAGGGGCCAGGGAGCCCCGCCAGCCCCGTAAATCACCAGGCACCCAGCGCAGTAAATCTGACCTCCCTTGCAAGGGAAATATAAATCAGCTTTACTAGCAGCTTCTGAAACAAAAACTAAGCTCATGAAACTGTAAAAATGCCTCTTTAAACATCCTGTGCCCCGAACAGACCATTGAAAGCCCTGCCAGGCTGAGGGAGGGCAAACAAGCTTTCCAAGAGACGAGACAAGTGGCGGCTGACGAACTGAGAAAAGGCATTTCAGACGGAGCAGCTTCTCGCTGGCAGGCAGCACAACGCAGATATCTTTAGCACAGGGTAAAGACAGGGTAGGGAATCGGGAGGAGTGAATTAGCCAGCATTAATACTGTCGTTTGTATTCAGCGTACTTCAAGGCGCTCGCAGTGCAGACATCACCAGACACAATAAAAAATTACCCAAGTCTAATGGAGAGCAAAGCACAGCACATCTGCTGGAGGCAAGAGCGATGATCAGCGGGCTGGGATGGGACCCTCGGGGCCACCTCGCCCCACAGCCCCCGGGGGACGAAGCAGGCCACCTCCCTGCCTGCTCTTCCCTAGGGCCTGCCCGCACAAATTAAACACCACAGCTCCAGCACTTCACGAGCTAGCATGGGACGGCCGCACCAGGGGGACAGGGGCAGGTCCAGAGGAAGCCTCACAAACCAGTGCAGAGGCAGGAGCAACCAGGCCGAGAGGCCAGAGCGATGATCAGCGGGCTGGGATGGGACCCTCGGGGCCACCTCGCCCCACAGCCCCCGGGGGACGAAGCAGGCCACCTCCCTGCCTGCTCTTCCCTAGGGCCTGCCCGCACAAATTAAACACCACTGCTCCACCACTTCACGAGCTAGCATGGGACGGCCGCACCAGGGGGACAGGGGCAGGTCCAGAGGAAGCCTCACAAACCAGTGCAGAGGCAGGAGCTACTGGGCCGAGCCGAAGTGGGACAGGGCTCAGCAGGGCCACAGGGCAGTCGCGCCCGCTCACATTCCAGCAAGAGCAAGACTGCACCCGAGATCCGTGGTAGGAAGTCTGCAGAGAACATTATGGCTGGGCAGGAGCTCCAGCTGCAGAGGAAGCTAAAAAAAAAGAGCCCAGGGACCGGTGCCAGGAAGGGACAGCCAGCACTGGGCAAGCTCTGGGGAAGGGGTCTGGAGCCCAGGGGTGCAGCAGCCTCCTTGTGTGACCAGTCGGAGGCTAGAGAGCATGCCGGTCCTGGGAGCAGCACCTGTGCGCAGCCAGGGAAGGAAAACACGGCATCAGCTGAGCCAAGCCCCTTCTGCCAGCTGCCTTGTTTTCCTGAAGATTTATTGTTGTTCCCGTACTCAATAACAGCAGAGAAAAGGCACAATGAGGAAACTTCAGTGATCAGTGGCTGCTAAGCAGCAAAGCTTTCCAAGAGCTCGCTGAAGCCAAGAGGAAAGGCTTCACAACCGCTCTCTGCTGACGCTTGCTAGCGCACAGCCGGGCAGCAGCACCTCGAACGTGTGGGCACCTCTTTCTGCTGACACCCCACAGGCAAGCGGGCTGTAAACACAGGCAGGACAGGGCTGCTTGCTCCCGCCTCGCCTCTCCTGCCGTCTCAGGGCACGAGGGCAGTGCCAGCTGCCATGCAGCACGGACCATCTCCCTCCACTCCCGTCAGCAGAGACCTGGATGCGGGCGGTCTTGGACCAAAGGGTCCGTCACTGCAGGAAGGAGCAGAACCCCGGGAGCCCACCCGTAAAGTTCATTAACTTTCTCTGCATTTCAAATAGCATTGGATAACATCTCGGTGCAGAAGAAAACGAGAGCCGGTGTTGCCAGAGGCAGCTGCAGCGGCAGCTCAGCGGAGGCTTACCCTTGGGCATGATGCGATGCATTGCAACCGACAAGAAGAAGATCGAGTCGCTGTAGTAGGTCCCCGATCCAGCGCTGAAGTGTTTCTGCATGGCCTCGACGATCGGAAACAGCTTTTCCGTCAGCTCATTCACATCATGGACTATTACCTAGGAGAAACACCAGAAACACCGCTCAGCCACTGCCTCGGGGGACCGGCCCAGTGACGGCAGCCTTCGCTCAGCCCGCACCGGCACGGGGTGAGGAGGGGAGGTTATTAAAGCAGAAACACTGCTGGTGGCACTGCAGCTGCACAAAGGGACCCGACTGCCACGGCCCCTGCACGTCCCCGTGCCACGAGAGCCAGCCAAGCACAGCAGGGAGAGGAGGGAAGGATTTTTACAGCCATTTCATATGGGCAGAGACTCGAATCCACTCACACAATCAAGCGTGTTCAATGTTCTGTGGTTTTTTTCTGGTCTGTTCCCACTGCCTAACACAACCACATATCTGGTCTCCCATATGGAGTCCATTAGAAGAGGTGACGGTTCACTCCAGGCTCTGGCGTCCTGCCGCTCTGAGGCAAGCCAGACCACGTCACTTACCCTGAGGACCAAGACTTGCTCCTTGCTCCAGAGGCAGGCTGCGACAGGGCCAGGAACGCAGCCCGGATTTCCTGAACCTCAGCCCAGCGTGGAGGCAAGCTCGGCAGCACGTCCCGCCGGGGCTGGAGGGGGAAAGGGACGACGGGCCACAGCACGCTGACAAAAACCCGAACATCAGCAGTTACAGCAGAGCCCGGCATCTTCTCTAGACAGAGCTCAGCCCGCTTGTGCTGGAGCTTTGCTTGCGCTCAGCCAGCAATGCTCTGCCCTCCTCAGCCTGCTGGAGCCCACGCACCAGCACCGGCCCTGGCACGCCTGCACAGGTCGCGGCTACGGGCCAGAAACAGGAGCAATTGCAAATGTACCATGTCAGCTGCTGAATTTTTACTAGTTTGTAATTAATTTTTGTCAAAGTCTGACGAACAGGAACTTTCATGCAGCCTGATGCTTGTTATACACACACAAGGATGGAAGATAACAGGAGGGATTTTCAGGGTAATTAAGAGAGACAAGGGACACGACCGCGGTGCGGATAACGGGGAGTGCAGGAACTCGAGTGCAGAGACTCGAGGTCGCGTTGCCTTCTTCAGGCCAAGGAAAGCAGGAAGAGCCCAGCAGGAACTGAAGGACAGCGAGGACACGACTGCAGCAGTACTTGAATTTTGGAAAGCAGAGCCTATAACCATTCTTTGAGGGATACAGAGACACCTCCTTAAGACTTCAGCGGGGGACTCAACCCCAAGATCTCCATACACCCCTTGCAAACTAAACTATCCAACGGTTCTATGGTTTCACTCCTTTTTCCTACTAAAACTTCATGTGCTTAAGAACAAGGAGCCCTGCACTATACACTTAAACATAAACGTAAAGCAAGCCAAGCGCTTCAGAGGAACAGGCGGCTCTGGAGCCTGCGCTGGTGCAAGGACCATCCTCTCTACGGGATGCGCAAGGGGCTGCTTCGACGCTCAGCCAGGCTGGCACAGAGACAAGAGGCCGTGAGTGGCCTGGAGCTTCCTCCTCCCACGCTTTCCTGCAGAAAACGTTACCCAGATCCAAGCACTTTCGCGTCAGAGCAGAGTTCCCCGGAGGCAGGGAGCCTCTCGTGGGACCCGCAGTACGCCCAGCGAGGCAAGGTGATGGGCCCAGCAACCAAGCCCACGGTGGGGCATGGCTGCAGGAGAGTCACAGCGGAGTCCCCATGGCCCCCCTCCCGGGGAGGGCACCCAAACACCCACCCTTGGCCCAGGCCATCAGCCAGGTGCTGTACGAGAGCCCTCGTGCCGGCTCCGTGGCCAGCGTGTCCCTCGGCAGGGCGGCCACGCTGCTGGTGTCGGTAGCATCTCGCTCCAGCCTCGCCACGCTGCGTGGCCGGCATCGCCATCGCTGTCAGCACCAGCAGAGCTGCAGGAACAGGTCGGAGAGCGGCACGGCTGCAGGGAGCAGCTCGGCAGCACCAAGCACTGCTGCTGGCAGTGACTCTGGGTGACCAAACACAGCAGGGCACCGCTCCCCAGTGCAAAGGCACCGACTGCCTGTGCACAGTGCTGAGCACCACCAGCACCGGGATGCGCGATGCTCTGCTCCCAGCCCACCTTGGCAGGGGCAGCTTCGGGATCTGGCCAGACTGGAGAGGTGTGGAAGAGAAATACAGCACCTGCAACTGCCCTTCCACACCCAGCAACGGCAGCCTGAGCTCTGCACAGCACATAGGAAACAGCTGAGCAGGGGGAAAAAAAGCCAAGCCAATTTCAGTTGCTTCTGAAATGAGCAGAGTGCCAGGTACCAGCGGACAAAAATCATGGGAAAAATACTCCTGAAACTCCAGACACAGCATCATCTGCCTTCCCTCCCCTGCCAAAGAAAACAGGAAAATGTGTGTCTTTGTCCACCCTTTGGTTAAGGCACTTCTGCAAGGCAAGCTCCTGAGCAGCTGAGTCTTCCTTCCACAGCCACAGGCTGCCCAGCCTCTCCAGGACTGCGGGCTTCTCCTCTCCACACTGCTGACTTTAGCACGGCTTGGTGATCCGCTGCTAATTTTGTACTTCATTATTTATTTGTGCAGCAGCTTTCAGCAAATCCCCGTAGCCAAATCCAACCACGTTTGCTGAGGATATAAGAAAAGTAAGTTCCAGGGGTTTCCTGTGCAAGCAAAGTTTTATAAACACACGTCCCGCACCAAGAAAAGACCCTTTCAATTGATTCACTAGAAAAAACAACACACATTCTGCTTCTCTTTAACTTTCCCTCCTCCTCGTGGCAGCTAACTCTCTATCAGCTCTCTTGTAAGCGCACGGTCACGGCAGCTCAGTAAGGTTGCCCCCAGCATGGCTTCACACACGCCGGACCCACGGAGCAGGCGGTGTCTGGCAGCGTCCTCTGTGGGGCCGATCCAATCAAGCAACCAGGAAGAGCAACGAGCAGAGAGCGCAGTTAATTCTGTTCTCGGAGGGGAATGGAATAAATAAGCGATATGAATCAGCACAAGGAGTCAGACCGCGCAGCCCGGAGTTGCAGGAAACGGGGTGAGTCGAGGCTCTTTGTAAGCACAGTGTCGGCTGCTGAGATATGTCCAGGCTCGCTCCCGGGCACTTCCTGCTCGCTGGGAAGCGGGAGAGGCTGCAGGGATCACCCTGCAACCCATGGGACAGGACACCCTCTCTGCAACTGTGAGTGTAAAAGCCCTGGTAAAAGCCCAGCAGAACCTCTGCAAGCCGGGGCT